TGTTTTTTTTTACCAAGAAAAAATATTTCCATTGTGTGTGTATTTCCAAGACATAATGTGTTTGTGTCTGTTCCAGTTTGGGTTTGTAACTTGTATGCTGTCAGGACATCTCTTTCTAATGAGCCAAGGCTGTGTGCAACAGGGTTTTATACCATCTTTATGGTATTTTTATACTTTGTCATCTCAGAAGAAGAGCACGATCTGGTTTGCAGAAAGTCTGAAAAAAAACTGGTGCACCAATAGGTGGCACTATTTTCTCTTGACCAGACATTCTAATCCAATGATCCAGGAGACCAGAACTAAATTTACTGGCAAAAGGTTTTTATAATCTAGGGTTAATTTATAATTAATTGACTTTTCTTTTAGGTTTAAAGAAACATTAGTCATAGTTTTGCGTCAGTTTAGGGGCAGACTGCAGACTGTCCTGTGGGAGGTCTTTGTTTGCACAGAACAAATTCATTGTTCTCCCACAAACATAGGCATCCCCTCCCTTAAACAGCTGCGGTGGGCCCATATTTGAGGGGACAAGCGATAATAAATTTGGATTGCAGCAGCCCAGAATTCAGGGAATCGCAATCTTTGTAAATAACAATTTGTGTGTTCCTCTTGGACATGTAGAGGTGAAACAACACATGTTGCAACAATACACCACAAAGCTGAAGATCTGCATAATTTCTTATAAGAACACAACTTGTACCTTGGTTTCAAATGAATGAAAGTAAAGACATTGCCTTCAAAATCAAGTAGCAGATAAAGACAGACCTGGTTTCTGATGTTTATTCTCTTCATTTAATGGTGCAAGTTTAAAAAAATAGTTAATGCTTAACATGCCTAATCAAATTGAAGGTCAGTAGTCCTTTTTTTTACTTTGCATAAGTGCTGTTGGGAGTTCGAGCTTTGTTGATGAAGTGGTATGTTACCTAGCACTTGAAGAACCATTAATACATTTGAGATAGGCTGCTAGGAAATGAGTAATCCCATGGTGCATTTTTAATCGCCATTAAGAACCTGCTGATTTTTTTCATAACAGATAGAGAATAAAAACAAACATCAGGGTGAAATACCTCCCTGACTGTAGGATTAAACTCAGATTAGTTTACACCAGGGTTTAAGAAGAAATACTGCAAATGCTGTTGGTATTTCTTTTGAACATGTCACTGCACCCAACAACTGTTGCTGGGGAAAATAAAGCTAAGAAATGTTCAATAAAGCTAATCCCACAGAAATCATTTCCTAATCCCCGAGTATAGAATTGCTTCCTTACCAATACAGAGAGTGATTGCATATTGCTACCATGCAGTTATGATCTATTGTAGTTGTTTCTACCAAAACCAGTATTTCTGTATGTCCATATAGGGAGGTGGGCTTCTGATATCTATGTTGTCTTCTCAATTAATCATGGCTAATATTTGGTTTTCTCTGTGTTTCCATTGATTTCACCTCATAGTAAAAAGCTAGTTCATCAACAAATCTTTCCTTCAAGCTGAGCACAAAGACAGTGGCAAAACATTAACCACAGTTTCCATTATTCATCAGCTTCAGTTGCAGATAAAATTAAAATGGTATTCTTCAAGTATTTTGTTTACCTGTTGATAAAATAGACAGGTAAAAGCATGAAAATACTGCGATAAAAATAACAAGTCTATATTTAGACTAAGTTTTGTACCATTTCCACTTTCAGAATTTGTTATGGTTCCACCTCTTGCCTCACAAAAAAAGGCATTAGAGCACAAACGTATTGAAAGAAAAAGGGGTCATATTGTATTAGAGAACTACAACTCTCACAGTCCTTGGATCCCTTTGGAAGTAAGATATTCAAAACTGAATATATTAATGCACATGAACATTGTGCCCCATCTTTGTGACTCCTGTCTACTTCTGAATCTACGCTCCGAGCACTTTCCGAGTTTTGCTCTTTTATTATCAAGCTTAAATGTGAGAGTTTATCTCATAGGAATCCCATAGTTTAGTTTTGCCTCATCTGAGAGCTCTGCAGTGATTCTCAGCAACACCGTTTTTTTTTTATTGCCAAAATTATAGATGATTATCAATTAACTCTGGCTCTACACCTAAAAGATATTACTTGCATGATACATAGAAAACTGTTCAATGTATTCAGCTGTTTCATTCTTATTACTGCTTCTCAACATGATATAACTAACTCTGACAAGTGAAACGGACGTCAAACAGAACTGAAAGTCTCTGTAGACAGTTCTGAACACTGTGGAAATACAAGGGTCAATTAATTTCATTCTCATTATGTGTATAGCTGACTTGCCAATATTTAAGAAAATGAACAATGGGTCAGACCGAGATCAAGAAAAATGTTATGAATAAATGTTTTATCTGTCATCCTTTAGTGTTCTATAGGCATCCTCTATAGGTAGTGTTATGAGACTGAATTTCACATAGAAAACTTTAGCTTTTTTAAATTAATGTTCACAAAATAATAAATGCATACACTACTGTGCCGTCTTATGCATTTTGTGTGGTTCTACACATTTCATTCTTTTTCCCTTCTTTATAATACTGTTAAAATACTGTTTAAAAAACAGTTCTATTGTGAGCATGTACAGAAATCACATTCATTATGTTTTTAGCAAACACTTAATTGTGAAATACACAGTATGTATTTTGTATATCTGTAACAGGTATCCTTTCAGCTTTACAAATATGCAGGAAAGAACTCATGAAGTTAATAATCAGGAATACCTGAGATGGAGTTAATTTTAATTTGATTGGTAATGGTCACAGAGTGGCTGCATCATGTTGGTAGTTCATGCTTATTTGTGATACATTTTTCCAAACACAATACAATACAACAATTTAAGCATCCCTCACCTCACACAAGCCCACCTCACCCCTCCAGCTCAGTAGCAATACCTTTGAGATTAGACTGGAGCATTACCTCTAGAAGACATATTCTAACCCATTAAAGGTCAGATGGACTTTCTTGATGAGTGCCCTAAGAAGAAGCAGATTGGGAAGTACATGAAATCATGATTGACAAAAGGCTGGCATTTTTCAGTGTTTTGATAAAACTAAAGTCATATTACCCAGAACTCAGAACATAACAGAAGCATTTCACTCAAGATGATCAAACCCCTTTTCCCACACCTTATAAAAGAACAACACAGGGAGAATGAGTATCCATATTTGTACATAGATATGTTAACAGGAGAAAACACTGCATGTTGTATCGGACTTCAATAGTCTGTCAGTTCGAGATCAATAAAGTTGCTAAAGTGTGATAGAAGCTTGGTGTCTAGATAAATCAGTGAGATGATAAAATGCACAAAGTCTTGGATATGAACCTTATTGTTCAATAAAGGGAAATAACCAAAGTATTAACATTAGGAACACCATAGTATTAGAAAATGGATGGATAGATGTACTGTAAGCAGGTTTATCGTCTAAAACATAATAATCTACTTATAATGTAAAAAAAGAAATAGATTAAGCAGAAAGGATAATTGAAACAGATCCTATCTCTTGACTATAGGCAAAAACAGAGATAGAGATCCTATCTCTTGACTATAGGCAAAAACAGATTTGTAACATTTAACCTGCATCAGGTGTGACTGGCACATTCTTCATGCTGATGCAATGCAAACCATGCCTATTTCACTGTTTTGTTATTTTACCTCTCTTTTTTAACATGTTCAATACATCATTCGAATCAAGCAATTGTCCTACTTTGCAGTTGGCAAGAGTTCTTATCATTACTAATTTTGCTATGGAATTAATACTGACCTATTATTTAATTAAATAAATGAACATTCCCAACTACTTTTGTGATATTCAAAAATGTAAAACAAATTACAAAAGTTCCAAACATTTGGATAAATGGAAGCTGCTTAAAATAGAACCAATCTGAATTAATGTATTTTAACATTATTAACACAATTTGTAATGTCTAAGTATGCCTTTTAAAATGCAATGCATAAATAAATAAATTGCTTATACTGTCATTTCAACTGCCATTAGTCATTTCATTAGCCATTAGCACACATTTTTGGAGTGTTTATTAGCATATTTTAACTTTTCACTCATTATTTCGTACTTCAGTGATTCACATTTGTTCAGTGGGTGCAGCCTATTTAAATGTGTTACCATACCCAATGGCAAACACAAATACTGTACAAACAGCTGCATGTTATCTCTTAAACATACAGTAAATGTGCACAAAGCAGGGAGATATAACACCTTGATGTTTGTGTACCAGTTCTTTAAGCTATTCAACTAATTAATCCAAATATGCCATAATAAATACTCATCAAAGCTTGACAGAGATGTCCCCTTTCCAGTACACCTGTTTCAAGGATGCAAAGAAAATGGATCCTTGTAATTAAAAGCTTGTGGGACTTATTAATAAATCTTTAACAGTTTAACAAGTAGGAAGTCTTGAAGGTATTGCTAAAATCTCCCATACTGAAATCGGAGACAACCTGTAATACAATACAGTAGTTAATAAAACTGCACCCACGAACTCAAGAAATATCTCTTGAGAAACACAGATAAATACTGTAAATATGTTTGTAAACATAACAAACAAGTATTGTCAGGAATTACATACATCTAAACTACAAGCCAGATACAGAAGGACACGATACAGATATTTGATGGTAAAAGATTTAGTAAAGTCAGGTAGTACAGTATTTGAAAAAAGAAACTGAACTGATGGAAATTGTAACAAGGCAAGAAGTGTAAGGATTAGAAATTAAGCATTTCAGGAAGGATTAGCGCATTTCTAACTGGTTTATCATGCAGTAATAAATGCATGAAGATGCAATCTCTGAAAATCTCTGGCAGTGACTATAAACTCTAATTAGAGATAATTGTACATTAAAGTATGTGTTGTAGATGCCATTCCTTTAGAAATATGGAAGTCACATACTGTGTATTAATAAATAGATGTATTGGGCTATGAAATATTTATTGAATAAATATAATAAATATTTATTGACTTGCTAGTTTTCATAACTCCACAACAACGAAAATTTCCAGAACAGTCTTTATTAATGTTTCCACACATCAGTCAACTCAAAATATCAATTGCAAGCACTGTACTGATGACTAATTACTATGATCTATAAGGATTACTATCAGGATCCTGTTGAAAGCAGGTATAGTTACATTTGTCACATACAGATACAGTCTTCATTCATATATGTATGCTAAGCCTTGCACATATATAAAATAGAATTACCGGTGCACAGAGGACAGGATCATTGTTTAAAGTGAATTGATAGCAGATTCAATTTTGAAACTAAGCGATTTGAGTTTCACATTATGCACAACACATAATCCCTTACTACAGTATGAAACTGTGCTGCGTGATTCTGTTCTGCTTAGCAGAACTGAAACCAGGATGAGATCTGGTCTCATGGGCCACTGGGGTTCTAGTATGCACATAAAATTGACCTTTATGTCAGTACTGCATGGTCCGTCTATAATGCAATGACTTCTGTGTGTGGTGAACTATGATATTCTATTCCTCTTTGTGAGGTGCTTTATGAGATGCTACTTGTTACACAAAGAACAGAACATTCTGCCCCTCTAGTTTAGAAATAAAAACAGAACCGTGATTAAGCAATTAAAACAGTAATTACAATTTGCAGTGTAGACAAATGTCTGAAAGTGATGCCCGTGACCTGGTTATAATAAAGACTGCTGTTTTACAATAGGACTTTTTCATGGCACAATGATTGCAGCTATGCTGGAATGCTATTTTCTCTACTTGCACAGCGTGCATCATCAACATCCCCCTCAGGCTCCAGATAAATCTGTGGCACAGATGCCATGTTTTATTCTTTTTCTACTTTTGTGTTTCCTTGAGTGGCTTGTGCCTGAAAAGAAAGCAAAGAGAAAATGTCAGCGAAGTCACTTTATTTTTTCAGCTTCAGTCATTCGATTTGTTAAAGCTGTCAGTTTTCATTGAATTTATGTAATTGGTGAATTGAATGGAACTGCCTTATTTAACTTGATATGAAATTGATATTGTACGTAATACGTCATTCAGGAAAGCTGAGGAACAGGTAGGGTTGAAAAATCTATATCCCGGCAGTAAACCTGTCAAATTTGACGTTTTAGATGTTCTGAATGTTTGGGGTATACTAGTTAAAAATGACAAATATGAATGTGGAATAGCATTTAACTTTCAGTTACATTTAGATAATACAGACCAAATTACACTAAGGGCACAGGGTTGGCTCACATCTGCTTGGTGACTCTGCTATGTCTTCAGATCCCCAGGTGATGTTTGTCTAGAGTTTGTCAACAGTCCACAACTATTTACCAATATGTAGTCTATCAATAAGGTCAAACACAGCCTGGGACAGGAAGAGGCCAGAAATAGATCTAGGGGCAAGGGCTGTCTTATGCTTTATATCAGAGGGAGTATTTATTGGCTTTTATTACCCAGTAGGCAGACTTAGAATGGGTTAAATGGTTTAGAGAAATGGTTCTCTCAATCTTCCATCGATACTGTCTTGTGGAGGCCTTTTGTTGTAAATAAACCAGCATTTCCACTTCTAGTTGCTCTGCCGTCTTGCTGTGCCAGGGAAAAAATATTTTATTTTCAAACTGGTTTTCATTCCTGTTAAACACTGCATCAGACACAAAGGACTACAAAGTGAATTACATGCAACTCAAATGTGGGCAGACACCTGGCAAATAAAATGTAATGTGAATAGATGCATGCAATTACATGGAGGCAACACAAGTGTACAGTACATTACAAATATCACACTGAAACAGGGATTATAACAAAGAACTAGGAGTTTTGACTTAACATTTTCCTCATCTATTCATGTAAATATTGAAGAAATGTTTAAATTATACAATGCCACACTTAGATCTCACTAGGAATATTGTGTTTAGTTTTAAACACTACGAAAGGTGGTACAAAAGAGATTAATCAAACTAATTCACTTCAGTATTCTAGATTGGAACTGACACAATAACTGTACGTAGTGACTAGATTAAAGATATTCAGAATCAAGACAAAATGAGCAACAATACAAGGAGCCATAGACACAAATAAAACATAAATTAATCTTAGGAACAGAAGTAAACAGTTTAGGAATAATTCAGAACAGGAAACAGTCACATTCACCCTTTACACAGAAGATAGTCTGGAACCAATTCCTTAGCCTTGACCTTTAACTTATTAAACCTGTCTCATTGGGCTACTTTAAGAAACTGTTCTTCTGAACTATTGACAAATCTACTAGCACCCAAGCAAACAGAATGTCGGTCATGTACTGTGTATCCTCTGTGGTTTGTCATTCCTTGGAAGCTTCAGTATTCCAGGATGACTTCCACCAACTTGTTTTATTGTTCTATGGGTCATGTGCCTAAAGAAAATTATATGGTTCTCATCTCTGTCCTTAATGCAATATATTTGGTCTGTAAAATTATAATGAACTATATTAGGGTGAGATAACCTCATCTTCTTCCCTGGCTTTCATAAGTCAATCAGCAAACTCTGTGACAAATGCTGCAAGGCTGCTGAACTGAGGAGTAAGGCATTCACCCCAGCCAGAGGAGTTTCATTTCTAAAACACATCAATATATACTGATGAAAAAAAGAAACGCAACATCTCCTCCTCCTCTGGCCCTCCCGTCTTTGTGGAACAGGCTGCAGAGTGACTCATCCGTGAAGAGGACCTGATGCCACTGCTGACGAGTCCATTGCCACCTCTGTCTGGCTCAAGCCAGTCTGGTGTGACGTCAAGAGGTGTGAGCAGAGGGCCTCAGACAGGTCGCCTTGCTCTAAGGCCAGCAGCATTGAGCCTCACTGTCCTGTCACTGATGTGGGCCTTGTGTTTGTTTACAGTTTCAGCAGCAGTACAGGTGGCAGATCTGAACCGATCTCTCAGATGGACCAGTCTGATGTGTCGGTCCTGCTCTGGTGTGGTCACTCGAGGGCCACAGCATCTTGTACGGTCACCTGTCCTACTGGTCTGCTGAAACCTTCTCTGCAGTCGGGACACAGTGGAGTGGCTTACTACATAGTGTCTGGCATGCCTGCAGCATGCCAGTGGCCCTCTCCCTTGCTTCTGGTGACATTCCAGGCATTATGGGATGCACAGAAAACTGACTAAGTGTGGCCTTTTTCTTGCAGTGACCTACAGTAAGCTTTGAATTAAGGCATTTTTAAAGGTGATCTGATAAGGCAGTGTTCCACCTGGACCTCATTGGGTAAAAGTGCACCTAATAAGTCCAGGGTTGTGTTATCCCTTTCATTATATTCATTGCTTTTGGAATCTTTGTAACCTACTGTAGTTTAGGAGATTAATTGCAGTGTTCTAGAGTTGAAATGTATGAGGAAAGAAACAGATGTAACACATCTTGTAAATGTATAGCTCCAGAATTAAAAATCACCATGAATATCAGCTAATAGCTTCTTAAACAGGAACATACAGATACAGTATAGAGAAACAATTGCTTTTCATCAAAAGTAGACATTGATAGTCTTTCTTTCTATGCTTGCTGCGTGTCATTTGAGAACATAAAACAAGTTGAATGCCACATTTTCTTTATGGCAGGATCCATATTAAACATACTGTTGTTGAAACGCAAATCACTAGCTACTGCATGCTATAGTATTGGCAGCAATAGGAAATGAAGCCTTAAGATTTCTGAGATTGTTTTTTAAACTAGTAATAATTCGCTGTTTTTATAAAATGTTTTCCAAAGCTTCTCAGAGCACTTTACATATAACAGAGGACAGACACCCCCCACTGTGGTACACATTATGTACCAGTTTGTACATTGTCTTGATGCACTGTTTGCACTTTGTCTTGTTTTTTACACTTGTTTTACAATCGAGAGGTCGAGAGACTCAATCGAGAGACTTTCTGTAAGTAAGAATTCCATTGTACCAGTACCGGTTACATATGGCAATAAAGTTCAAGTTCAAGTTCAAGTTCAGTAGTCCCGCAACACAAGAGATCAGGTGGTGTAGTGAGAAATTTGCTTCACCATCTGATTAAGAATGAACTTTAGGAAGGCCAGAGTGTACAATATCAAGGCAACATGTTTCTGGTAGTTAACACCCCTACTGTTTCAAAAATCATCAAAGATTTCTTTTCATCATTCAGGAATTAGCCCATTTTCAGTACAATACCATACCAAAGTTATTTGGGCCATGACTGATAGAAAGAGTTTCAAATCCAAAAATGCTTCTGATGTACAAAATACATCCAAATAATTTGTTTACACATACAGGTGCCATACTCACCCACAAATATCTGTACAGCAGGTGCTCTGCCTGGGCCAGGTTCCTCTCTATTTTCCCCATTCTTCTGTAATGAGTCATGCTTCTCAGAGAAGCAACCAGAAATTTGGATATCAGCTGCAGTGACCAGGAGTCAGGAATGACCTGCAGGACACTGGCTGGGTCAAACGCAGCAGCATTATTGTTGAGGAGATCCACTGCAGCAGTCACCATTGCATTTGAGTTGGGTGTGTCTGAATCTAGATAGAGTTTCAACAAGCTGAGAAACAGCATGTTACCAAACACCTTGTCTCTGCCTAGCGAATTCTTTCTGCAGTAGTTTTCTGCAGCACAGATGTCTTGCTCTTTGTTCACCAAGATCCATAGAGCTTTTTCATGTTGTCCTGCTCGTCCATTCAAAATAGCCTTTTCCACGTGGAGGCCTGTTTTCATGAGTTTGTCTAGATTTCATAAATTAAAGAGTTTTACAGTATGCTGTAAAATTGTCCATAGTAATATTTAAGCCGAAGAATGAAGCAATTCAACTTTGAAAGTATTCTCTCTCCCAGAGTTCAAGATATTATAGCATATTATCTGGGATCAACAGCCACTACCGAGAGGACACAGGAGAGGATTATTAAGATGATAAAATTAAGTCATTAAATACATCAATAAAAAAAAAGAACAAAAAGAAACAGAATATTCAACAGCACTTTTATATGCTCTTAAAATTACATTTGTTTTTTTTGCTCTCAAGGTTTTATGCCTTAACATATTGCAATTCTAGCTAGTTTCACTGACCTTGAACAACAGCTGTGTTGTAAATGGAAGTCTCCTGTAGCAGGTCCTGCAGTTTATTTCTCTTCACAGTTAAAGTCAGATTGCCACTTTCCATTCCCTGCTTTTCCATTATCACCAGTATTTGATCAACATATGTTGTTACCAATAGAGTATGGTGCTTCTCATCCTGACAGAAACACATTTCACAAGTCACGTTTTCTGGATTTTCTGTCAACAGTGAGAAGTAGCTAACTAGTGGAATGTATTAGAAATAAATCTACGCATTTATGCCTATGGGTGATCTTGAAATTGCCAAGATATACCATATACAGTACCGTATACAGTACATGTGTATTTATGTATGTTTGTGTGTATACACATTTACACAGTATATGTACTGTATGCTTGTGCTCTGTGTTTTACAATCACCTATGAAGCATTGTGTTTGCCTGCAATCTTTGCACATTTATCTTGGTGAAACAGGAAGAAGGCTGTCTAACAATTTTACCTCTCCTATCCTTGGTTACATCGATCCTCCAGTCATCTTTCTTTCACATGGAGTCCTGGACTCTTATGCCACAACGTGAAGATATGTTCTCCCATATCCCTCCCATTCCCATAGCCATCAATGAACTGATACTGTATGTCTTTCTAATCTTCTCCCTTCATTTACAGATTCTTTTCATGCTTCGACTGGAATTTGTTTCCCTGATTTCCCTCTCTTTTTGTCCTCCTTTTCCCAGTCTCTTGTTCTATTTCTTTTTTTTTTCTCTGTACCTGCCCCTGCATATTGAAAATGTGTTTGGTTTGTTCCTTTTACATTTTGTTTGGAATTAATCTCAAGTTGAATGTTCTTCATTTTGGAAATATTAAAGTATTGCATCTTTCAGAACAGCTCTTTCTCTGTTGTACACATTGGTCTATAATACTATTAAAATGAAATTAACATTGGTGTTGTACTATACTAAACTGTATTAGGAGAAAGGAGAGGTTGATTAAATATTTTCGCATTTGTCATATTTGAACTGTATTATTTTATTTAACATGATTGTTTCTCCACAGAATTCCTAGGACACAATTCTTTATAAATAAAGCACCACAGACACTTTAATGATGAAAAATCATGTCTACCCACCTCACTCTTCAGGTCATTAACTAAATACTCAAGGTACAATATTAAAGCTAGGGAGTATTTCTTCAACATGTTCAAGACATCATCCTCAACAAATGATTTCTGGTTATTCTTTCTCTTAGTGAAGATATGTACTCCCATCTGTAAAAGACAAGATAAATATCTTATGCAATGAAAATGCTTGCAGAATGAAGAAACTGTAAATGCATCTAACTTAGGATAACAATTCCCAGTGTTTCTCTGGTGGTTTTGATGCAGTGGATCATCTTTAACATTTACTCCAATTATAATTTAATTACTCAAATAATAATTATCAAGGCTTCCAATATCAACTAAATTATTTTGACAAACATTTTATGCATGTTTTTGAATATTACAGATTTCAAGTCTTGTAAATGGGGTGAGGAAAATAATCTGTCACTTAATTTTGATTGATCTATGCATGCAATCCACACAACAAAACACAACAGTCTAACACACTTACCATTATTTACATTTTACAAAGTAGTCAAGTGTATTGATTGTTTGATAAGTACAAGAAGGTAGTGTATACACAGCTTTAATGCAAACTCTACTCTATTTTGTAGAATTCTATATAATAATAATAAATTATAATACATATTTGTAATATATTCATATATTACATTATTGTGTATAATAGTAGATACTATATATTTATATAACCTAATACTTTTCACATTATCCATTTACATTATATACAGTAATTATGTACAACAAATTTGTTTTTTGGAACCCAACACAAATTGTCAAATAATGTGTTCATTATACACCACTTTACATAATTTCTCCAAAGCCCAACCACATAAAAACAATATTCATCGTTTATCGTTGCTAGTATAGTTGGTTGGTCTAAACAACTCCCTATTGAGTGTGACGAACAGCTCTATTCGGACCCTATGCGAACGACACAATCCAGAATAGTGAGGAAGGAATACACTAGGTAAAAGTCATGCAGGAACAGGGATGAACAGGGGGGCGTGTCCATACGGTGCTGGTGATCCGGGGAGGTGTGGCCGAGGCGAACAGTCCAGAATAAATCCAAAAGGGGGAATCCCAAAACGAAAGCAAAAGGTCCAAGGCTGAGAAATCCGTCCAAACAGGAGATTAAAATCAGGTGCCGGGTCGGGACCGGCGGGGTAACAAGGACAGGAGCAGGAAGTTAAAAACATAACGGAGCCAGGCGCAACCAGGTCCCGGGCTCGCACGATGCGGGGATCAGATGCAGAGCGCTGGGTAAAGTAAGCGCCTGGCTTTTAAAGGCGAACAGAAACAGGGAAGAAACAAGGAACAGGTGGCAGGAATGATACAAACGAGGAAAGGCTGGAGCGCCCTTAAGAGGAGGGGTTGCGATCGTGACAGTGAGGATGAGGTTTAAAATATTAGCCTGTATCAATAGACGTTACCTCTTGATTTTTCTTAAGAACCCAGTCAGCATATTTCCAGACAACTTCCAAATCTGTTTCACAGCATAAAAAATCCACTATGTGGCTGTAGACATCAAAATGCATGTTCTCATGATGGTGTCCATCAACTATTTTAGTCCAAGTCTGCAATATCCCCAGAGAAGAATAATAAGTTACTTCCACGATCTGTTTGCACAATAATTATTTCTCACGTAACACATTTCATTTGACTAGTTTGTCAGTAGACAAGGTTTACAGGGGAAATGGACAATATTATTGTTAAAATTAAAGGTTTCTAAAAATGCAAGAGCAGTGGTACTGAGATATTTTCTGTGACTATGACCACAACCATATAATTAAACTTTAGAGAACAGTTCTGTATTCTAACTTCTGACCAAAGTCTACATTGTTCAGTGGTGTTATTCTGATGGTTTTTAGGAGTTTATGTTTTTAAATTTCAGCAATATATATGTAGAGGTAACTGAGTTCAAAATTGAGTACAGAACAAGTGACTGCAGTTTCCCATAAATAATGCTGATACATATTCTACAAAATTGTAATACAATGCTGTGAATATGTTCTATTTCAAATGTATTTCAGTAATTTTTAAATAAAAAACATTTTAAGAGTTGCTATTCTGGTGAGTTTTTACAATATAGCATACAATGTTTTAAGTAAATATTATGCTTACTAGCAATAACCGAAAAAATGTCTTTAAAAATAGATTTTATGGAGGGCAATATGGCTAAGCAGGAATTTCATGGCTGTCAAACTCCTGTACATCTATAGCACCTCTTGTGTAGAGTGACTGATGGACAAAGGAAAATCCATATCTTAAGAGCTAATGAAGTCCAAATCTAGGAAAATGTTTAGTAGAGAAATATGGAAAAAATCAAAAGGATGTAGCAAAAAAAAAACAAATAGTGTGTAGTGGGCTGTGAACTGATTGAAAAGGGGTCTACAAACTAGAAAAGGCTGGGAACCGCCAGTCTAGAATATTTGGATAAGGAACAGAACATTTAAATTAAGGGACGTTACAGTATGTCAAATATCCACAAAAAGATTTTAAAACTCAAAGAAAGAGTTCAAAGAAGAGAAACAAGAATGATTCCTGGTCTCAGGAGAATGATATATATATGGACAGGCCTAAATCGATTCAATCTAGAACAAAACAGATTGAGAGGTGATTGAATCTAAGTATATAAAATCCCCAAGTGTACAGACAGAGCCAGGCCTAAGTAACTGCTTCTCTCATTTCTCTCACTCTCATTCAGGAGTGAAATGAGGACATGGGGTCACAGCTGGAAACTAAAAAGCAAGAGTTCTAGGTGTTTGGAACACTCCAACACGTTTTCTCACTATGAGGTCCAAATGTTGGGCCCTTGTAAGAATGGACTGCACGGAATGTGAAATTTAATTCCATTAAATCCAGAATTTCTCTCTTTTCCAACCTTTCTTACATACTTATCTTCTAATTTGCTAGAAGGTTCTGACTGCTATTGAAAATAGATTTGGTGATAGAGACATGTACCACTGAAATTGATGTTATCGCAGAATTTACTCCATCTCTAAAAATTGAATTCTTAATGTTACCAATAGCTGAGCATTTCTCTTATGCGCAGCAGGCACATAAAACTGTAGCTAGAGATTACTGTACCTGAATTGCACTGAGACTATGGCCATGACTCTGATAAAGACATCCTAGAGCAAAGAATCTAGAAGACAAAATGGAACATCACTTTTTTTCTGTTTTTGTTTAATGAATATACTGCTCTTTGTGAGTAACACATGTTTTGGAGTAACATGATTACATCTTGTTTATGCCCCTCAGAAGTCTGTTAAAATACAGTATTTATTATTAACAGCTAAGGTATTTCTTATATAAAATGAAAGTTTTCTCATGATTTGGATGTTGTTGATGCATGTCATTAATTTCAGTATTTTACTGCTTATTATTTAAAATTATGCTTTGTAGAATATAAATATATTAATTAATTTAATTTCAATTCAGAAATCTTATTCCAATTAGTTAAGTTTAATTAAATTAAATGCTTACCCAAATCATGCTTAATTTCCGTGTTCATTATTTTTACATGCACGTTAATGTTTCAAGTTAGATTGTACAACATTTTCATAGCTTTTATTTTGCCATTCGTTCACAATAACTCATTTCCTTTTATCATTTAACAAAAGACAACAATAATAATAATAATAATAATAATAGCTACTGTTGGTGTCTTACTTGAATGAAAACTGCGACTTAGCAGAAAAAGAAAACAACAGGTTCTGGCAGGCTTGCTGATTTCTGTAAATATATTATTTATAAAACATTTTATTTTAGAAGATCCCAAAACTGCTTTGCATCTGCCGTAGAAACTCACAGATATCATTCTCTACTACGGTAGAGTGCAGCACCCACCGGCGTGATGTCTGTCTTTACGTACCAACAACCCTGCAGAGCAGGTAGACTAAGAACTTTCTTACCTGTGAGATTTTTCCAGAAAAGTAGCACATTCGTTTAGCTTACAGGCATTAGGAGAAGATAATATTTTAATTAACTCCTCGGAATCTCCTCTCTCTGCGTACAGCTTCACAAGCGTCCTGTCAACTTCTTCTCTGCAGTCCGCCGACTGTTCCGTCAGACGGCAATCTCTCAGAAAAGAGCAGAGAAATTCCGTGTATTTTTCAAATGTCTCACTATCTCTCTCTTTCAGCAGCCGCAGATCTCTAGTGCTTCGCGCAGAATTGGGCCAGTGCTTGAAGTCGGCAATGAGAGAGGACAGTTCGGGGTATAAAGAAATTATTTCTTTGGGGTCAAGATTGCCTTTGCTGTAAAGAGAACAAAACAATAACTGTGAGTTACAGAACCAGTGAAGAACTATTATTTGTATTTGTAGCATGAATGAATAAATGTATCATAACAGCATGATATTTTGTAGAAAAAGAGATGTCCTGACTTATTTTTCAAAATGGGACAAACGTCAAAAAAGAATGTTATACTATTTATTATTTGTCTACTATTGACTACTAAAATCATCCGTCCGTTGTAAATGTTGACAAAACTGTCCAAAGGCAGGTTGTTCTTACATGAACAGGTCTTTGGCTTCCGAAAAGTATTCCTGGTGGAACTTCACAAATCCAGCTCTTCGAGTTACATTGCTGTACAACACCTACAAAAAAAAATGTATTTGAATTCGTAAGATTGTTCCGAATAATATGATACAATTTACATGTTGCTTTGAGAATGTAGTAAACATCAGGTTTTGCTAAATATTTTAGTAGCTGAATCTTCACATGCCAAAAATAGATACTGTATTAATGTTGATTTGACCTCAGACAGGCACGTCAGCTAGAAAAAAAAACCGAACTAAATAACATAATTTTGAGATTTTCTGAAGAATGTTGTAGTTTATTTTTGGCTTCAAATTATTAGAACCATCATGGTCATATTACCATCTGGTGGACACTGACAGTATAGCAACTCTTATTCAACTCTAGTGCACAGAATTGTTCAGTCACTTGGCCATCTCAATGTTTTAGGCTGGAGATTTACAAAGGTTTTCATTTGTGAACAATCCAGGAAGAGCCAACATATTTACGGTATGAGTAGGGAAAAAATAGTTTATTCTTTCCCTCCTTTGAAAACAGTTTTGTTATTACCTGTGGCAATTGGCAAATCCTATTTGTGAATGGACGTATGGACAATCTTTAATGGAAACCAAGGAAATAAACGTTTTACAAATTTCCCAGAACATATTTTTCTGTTTCACTGCAAATCCATTAATCTAGCAACATTGCGTTCAATGTAAAATATTCTTCAACAGAAATTAGAAGATTTATCCTTCAGGAAACAATACATCTTATGGTCTACACAGTAGAATTCATAGGAAAGAGAGGTACTTTTAAAGAATTTATTGTAGCAATGTATTTAAGTGAAAAACATCTAAAAATACACTGAGGCTTTATCTTCTGTTACCTTATATGTGTCTTTTGAAAACAAAGGCTTAACTCCTTGGACAAGATCTAATGCTTCATCTGTCTTTTCACTTTTGAGCAGGGCATCAAGTTGTTCTTCAACTGGAACTGGAGTCAAGCTGTAGACTGTGTTTTCAGTCAGGACAAAAACGTTTTCTGAACGGTAAAGGAAATTATTAAAATCAATTTTTATGGACATCTACAGCATGTGAACAATCCTGGAAACAATAATGGAAAGGTTAGACCATTAATGTATATATGTACTTATAATCAGTACAATGTGCATGTTTAACTTACTTAGCATAAACTGGAGATGTTAACAGTAGCTTAGTAATGGTTAGGAAAATTGTAGAATACTTTGAATAATTAACATATACAGTGCCTATAGAAGGTCTCCACACTCTTTCCAAAAGTAACACATTTTGTGGCCTAACAGCCTCAAATTAAGACACACCCATCAATTTTCTAACTATGTCTTCCAATTCTGGGTCAAGAGGGAGCTGGAGTCCATCCAGGCATGCAGCAGGTGCAAGGCAGGGTACACCCTGGATGGGACGCCAGTCCATCACAGGGCAGACACACGGACATGCACACCCACACCTAGGGTGAATGTTTTTGGACTGTGGGAAGAAGCACCTGCATGATACGGATGTGAGCATGGGAGAACATACAAACTCCACACAGATAGCACCCCAGATCTCTTGTTGAACCCAGGGCCCCAGAAATGTGCCCCCACGCAACCCCTCAATACACATTCAATCAGAATTTATTTAGATTTATTTATACAGTGTAACACAAAGACTCCAAGAGAAAAAAAACAAATGCTCAAACTTTCTGAAATGTAATTACAAATGAAATCCAAAAAAAAAAGGTAGAATAAGTGTACACACCCATGAGTTAGTATTTAGTAGAAGAACATTTTGTTTGAAGTGCAGCCATAATTCTATTGGTAGAGGTCTGCATCTAGCACAATTGGGTGTAGCTGTGTTTGCTCATTCCTCCTAACAGGACTGTTCAAGCTCAGTCAGATTACAAGAGGCTTATTGATGGACGGAAAACTTCAAGTCATTCCACAGATTTCCAATTGGATTGAGGTCAGGGCTCTGACTGGGCCACTCGACGAAGTTTACCTTTTCGTTAGGCCATAAATTGTGTTACTTTGGAAAGGATGTGGAGGCCCTGTAGTTCTAAACACCAATTGCTTTATGAATATTTTTGGCTTTTATTAAGTATATCCTAATTACTTAGGACTACAAGATTATTTTCAAAAACGTATTTAACCATAAGAT